CTTCAAAGTACAATAAAGACAAAGAGGATGAAAATAGGAAAAAGAAGATATGAAAATGAGAGCTCCAGTTCCAGAGGTCTAGTGTTAGTATAAAGGGAATTCCAGGGAGAAAAAGGAAAGAACTAAGCACACAAAGGGGAGTTATTTATCAATGAAAAATGTTTTTAATTTGAAGAACTAAAGACATTTATACATTTAAGAGGCCCAAATAGCTCAAAAAATGAGTTTAAAAAGACCTATTACAAGGCACTTTGTATTAACTATCTGTTGATATGTAAAGAATGGCTACAAAATCTGGCAACTAAAAACAACATATATTTATCATCTCACATTTCCATTGAGTTAGGAACCCAGACATGATTTAGCTGGGTTCTCTGTTTCAGGGTCTCTCACAAGACTGCAGTCAAGGTGTTGGACAAGACTAGAGTCTCTTCTGAAGGCAGACTGGGGAAGACTCCACTTCTAAGATCACTCACTGATTTTTGTCAGGATATAATTCCTTGTGGGCTGTTATTCCTTGAGACTGAGAATCTCAACCACTTGCTGACTCTGGGCTGTAGACCATCCTCAGTTGCTTGCCTGTCCATTATAGCAACTGAATTTATCAAAGCATAAATGTCAAGAAGGCAAAAAAAGTTTGCTAACAAGGCAGAAGTCACACCTAATCATGGAAGTGCTATCCCATTACCTTTGTCATGTTTTCTGAATTAGAAGTAAGTCATTGGGCCAGCCCATAGTCAAGAAGAGCGAATTACTCAAGGACATGTGTACTAGAAGGCGGAGAGTATTGGAGCCCACTTTGGAAATCTGTAGCACATACTTCATTGTGAAAATTGAAAAACTAAGGAAAAAGCAAACATAAAATTCCCAGTGACAGAGGCCATTAGCCATCATAAAACATTTTATGTGTTTCTTTGTTTTTCTCAGAAGACTTCCTTGCAGTTAGATTAAAGTAATGGTTCTCAACTGAGGTTGATTTTTGGCTCCCAGGAGACATTGGCAGTGTTAACAGACATTTTTGGTTGCCATACGTGGGGAGTGTTACTGCCATCTATTGGGCAGAGTATAGAGATGTTGCTAAATATCCTACAATGCACAGGACAACTCTCTACAACAAAGCAGTATTTAGCCCAAATGTCAATATGGCCAACGTTTAGAAATCCTGGGCTAGAATCATGTATTTTTGGCCAAGTACTATGCCAAGTAAATGACATGACACTTCTATTCCAAAGCAAGTAAGAAATAGCGTCTTTTCTCCCAAGTCTTTCTTCCTTTGTCAGAGTGAACTTGAAAGTCACATGTTGAGATGGTAGCATTTTTAGGTGGAAAGAGCCTGGATTCTTGGGTCATCTGATAGAGCAGTTTCTAATGAGCCACATAAAACTTTACATAAACAAGAAATAATCATTTGTTTTGTTAACTGAGATTTCAGCATTTGTCTATTGAGAAAATTAGGAGTACATATTTTGAATAATATAGCTCTAGAGAGAATAAACTGGCTACTACAAATGCCTGGGAATCAGGATGGTTCAAAAACCATCAGACGCTTCAAAAGCAGCATCAGAAACAAGAAAGGGGACAATAATATCTATTTTAAATCACAACTATCTCTTGATATTAAATATATTTGGTGAACAATGTTTGGGAAACAGGTGAAATGATTTTATATAAAAATTGAATCCATTTTGTTTTTCCTTTGGGTAGAATCCAAATAACAAATGATATCTGAATATTTTTCCTGCCTCTATTTGTTAAATGTGAAGGTAGAATGAAGACATTTTCAAATTATTTACCTTCTATTCACCATGCCTTAGGAAGCTTCTTAAGAATATCCTTCTCCAAATGAGGGAATAAACGTAGAAAAAGTAACATAATGGGTTCCAAAAACAGCCTCAACAGTGGTGAGGACTATTCCCAGGATGACAGGACTAGTGACAACCATTTTTAATTAGTGTAAGAAGGTATTTAAACTCAACGCATTCAGAATTGAAGTTGTCACTTGTTCTCCATGCAACCTCAAATGTTCTTTGATACTCATTTAAGTTATATTCACCCTTATTCACACTAACACTACACTAACTCCTACTCATCCTTACAGATTTGTTTCAGAGATAATCTAGAGCCATACCTTAGCCTGGTGGCACAATGTGTTTTCTCCTGCCTTGTGAAACCACTTCCATGAGTTTCTATAAGCTGCCTTTAAAGAAACTTAACAACCTTTTACTACGTCTTTTGGCATCTTTCAGTCAATCACATCACAATCCCATTGTGATAACCACACAAATTGATATCTAAAATAAAACTGATGAAAAGATCCCAGACTCTAATGATTAAATTGATTTAAGGGGTTGTGGGTGAACCGAAATAGAAGAAAGACCAGATCTGTTAGTGTGTCTGAGGACCATCCTTGGCTACAGACTGTGAAATTCTGTGTCTGGGAATACAGAAAGAATTGTTTTAGTGGAACACGTCCATTGGAAATCCAGTGCATTGAAAAGAAATTACAATTCAAAATGCCTTGACTTTGAGCTCCTTACTTGCTTTGTAAGGTGTAGTTAATGTTAAAGTGACACCTGAAACTTTCCGGCAGGCACTGTATATAGAAACCACCAGATCAATAGTCTGGCTGCAAAGAAAAGCAAGGCTGAAACTGTAGCAGCTGATGTCTGAGACAGGGCCCCTGGGACAAGATCACTGGGAATGGTAGAAGCCAAGAGCCTTGGAGCTTCCCTTGAGTGGCATTTCCTCATGCCAAGCAGAAACAGGATCACTGCTCAGGCCATAGATGTTAAAGAAGTGAGAGAAGAACAATTTTTTAACTCTCACTGAGCACACTATGTCCATAGAGTATTTTATGATGCAGGGACTACAAAACAAGGGCAGTTAAATAGGGACCAGATATTTTAAACATGGGATGAAATAATGGGAATAGTAATAGTCAAGTTGAGAGCAAGCTATTTCTTGACTAACCTACCTTTGAAAAGTAGCCAAGAAGATTTATTTGGTGTTTTTTCACTTTACATAACTTTCTTATAAATATCTATACTTTAAATCTTGTCTCTTACAGGGAACTATAACTTTGAAGCTCTGTGATTGGGGCAAAACAATTATGGTAAAAGAAAACAAAAATAATGTTCAAAGGACACACAGATATGATTTGCTATTTGAACCAATCACCCCTAGAAAATGGAAAAATCAACATTATTTAATTGAGATTAAAAATCTTTCATTCATGTGCCCAGAAAATCATTTATTTTTTAACCTCCTGCTTTAAAGATGAATAAAAGATTAAAACTGATCAGGTAGAGTTTTGAGTGTGAAAGATATGATTAAATGTGTCTCTAAGGATTTGAAAACTTTTAGGTTGCAGAATAATCCGTGGTTCCTAACAATATTGAATTGAAATGGAATTGGGAAAAATACTAATGAAGTATATATACTTGTATGGTTAACTTAAGATCCAATTTCGTTTGTGACTGAAGTTGTTATCAGCTTAAAAAAAAAGACTGCTGTATCAATAATATATTTTATGTAAGCCTCATAACCATAAAGCAAAAAAACCTACAGTAGATATTCAAAAGATAAAGAGAAGTAAGTCAAAGCATACCAATATGGAAAATCATCAGTTCACAAAGGAAGACATCAAAAAAGGAGGAAAGGAACAAAATCACCACAAAACAGCTAGAAAACAACTAATATGATAGTATTAGTATGTCATTATCCATCAATAAATACTTTAAATGTAAATGGACTAAAATCTCTGATCAAAAGCTATAGAGCGGCTGAATGGATAAAACAGCAAGACCCAACTATAGGCTTCCTACAAGAGACTCACTTCAATTCTAAGGACACACATGGACTCAAAGTAAAAGGATGGAAAAAGATGTTCCATGCAAGTGGAAACAAACAGAGAGCAAGGATAACAATCATTATAATACATTGGACAAAATAGATTTTAACTCAAAAACTATCAAGAGACAAAGGGGTCAATTCATCAAGAGGCAATAGCAATTAAAATATATACACACCAAACACTGGAGTCCATATATACATAAAGCAAAAAAGAAAAAAGAAAAAAAAAAGAAAAAATGTTGTTAGAGAACATGGTTTTGAAGGAGAAAAAGTGGGTTTAGAGGAAAAGAGCTTAGGCAAGAGCCTAAGAAAGATAAAGTGGGTGAAAACTTTCCAAATTCAAAAAAGTCTGATAAATTTTTATAACTATAATGTCTACATACATTTTTTATCAGACTTTTTGAATTCTGTACCACCATTTTTTTCTTTACATATGTCTGGATTCACAATCATTTCTTCAGAATAACTTTAATAATACAATTATTACGTGAACAGTTGAACACTAAACCTCCACTAGTTTAGGGCCCCAGATTTGCACTGCCAATATTTTCATTGAGCTGTTGCTGTCTGCCACAATTCCACCCTTAGCAATACAAAGAGCTTTGAAAAGTATTGAAGTCACGGCATTTTTTTAGTATATCTTAGATCACATTATTAGGCTTATACTTCCACCAGAACTTCAGGGGCATGGGCTGTGTATGGCAATGCACAGTTTCATCTCCCCATTGGGCACAGTCAACTTCAAGCTTCCTTAAGTCTTTCATTTCCTTGCATCTCATTTGCTACTGACCAACTAGAATATTTACATCTCCTAGCAGAAGATTGCAGTTTTATTTTCTAGTTCTTATTCTATATGTCATGCCCTACCCTCAAATATATCCATTTTAGTAACCTAAAATGACTTACCCAAACTATTGGGTCGTCAGGGAAGTCATGATATATTTTTCTGTTTTTCAATGCAAAAATGTGTCATGACTTTCCCAGCGACCCAATTAAAGCTAATATAGTCTCTAAAGAATAGGTACTTTATGTTAACAATATAGAATCAAAATACTTAATGATGAATTATGACTTTCCAAGTTATATATATTCCTGGGAGGAGGAATAGCTATACCTAATACTGGATCTGTTCTTATGCTCTTTTGAAGGGAACATCCTTCTGTATCAGAATTCCTCATGTTTCCATACCCAGATTTCTTCACTAAGGGAGATGAAGAATTAGCAAGAATCATTGACCATCACGTAAGATTGATTTTCTTAAATTACTGGCAATGGCTTTGTTCTTTAAAGACACTTTGAATTAGAAAGTGTAGTTCTGAGACTAAAATATTAACATGTGGAACTTTAAAGTAGAGCTACAACTGGGCATTGCCAGACTTAATTATATCTCACTGTACTATCTATACATCTCAGAGCCTTCATTGGGTTACAGGAAATTTGGCCTCTGTCATCTATAAAACACTAGCCTTATCCTGTTTCCTAAATTAGTACTGATTTCTTTTGACAAGAATCTGATATTGAACACTGAACACTGATTTCTTCTATAGTGTAGTTTTAATAATGGAACAAATATCTTTTGACTCAATTTTCCGTGACCATTCTTTACCCTTGAAATATTAGAAAGACTTTAATCACTTTGTTCTTGGTATGAGTTAAACAAGCAGTGGCAATAAAAGGCTATTCACTTAAGACACTTTAATCCAGTGAGCTATATTTAGTGAATGATTTCATTTTATGACTGCTTTTTTTAGGAGTATAGTTGGAGTAGAAGAGAAAGTATTTATTTTCTATTTTTTCTTTGAATCCAGTATGGATTCAATAGCATGTAGAATGTGTTTAAATTTTATCACCAGTAGTTCAGTATTATTTATCAGATTTTGTTTATATTCCCATGATAAAATTTTTTTTGCATTTCATTTAATTAGTGATCTTTTGAGAAAGAATGAAGGATTATTTCAGTTACTGATCCCATTGAATAATTTATCATATAGCTAATATTTAAACTACTCTAGCAATAACTACAAGTATTAGGATTTGGAAACTGAATGATACCCTGGAACCACAAAATAAAAGCTGTAGTATTGTATTTTTATTCAACAATGAAGTTTTTGTTAAACTAATCTAGCATATGTCCAGGGCAATATAAAAAATTCCTAATAATTTATAAATTGCAGCATCTATTTTACTATATATTCAACTGAATTATCTAGAATAAATTACAAGAGATAGCTAATTGCCATATTTATAGACACATATATTGTGTAGTTTTAATAACATAACAAAAAAATATATATATATTTTAAGACTTTTATTGGGGAATTGGGGGAGGGGAACAATATTGGGGGATCGGGAAAGGGGAACAGACAAGTTACTGTCCTATTTTTTTTTTTTCTCTTCAATCTAGTTGTGGAGGACGTCGTTTCACTGGCCCATGTTGGTATTATTATTGCACTCTTTCTGGGTGAGGCAGATTGGTCATTGGCCACTGAACAGCTGTCACAGTAGGTCTTGGCAGCTCACATTGGCTGCTGGCTGGTCATGGTAGCTTATGGCAGCCCACTGCAGCTCCACTGCAGCCTACGCCTTCACAGGCGACTCATGGCAGCCCAGCTCCAGGTCGAGCTGTTGTTCACCATCTTAGCTGTAGAGGGTGCAGCGTCACTGGCCCTCTATGTGGGATCCGAACTGGGGCCCTGCTGCTCAGAGCTGGCATCCCAAGCCATCTCTTAACCAATGCGCCACTTGACCAGCCCAAGAAAAATCTTTTGATTCAGTTTTTCATGACCATATTTACCCTTGAAAGATTAGAAAACCTTAATCACTTTGTGATTGAATACATCTGCTTAGGGCTAATTGAAGAGACAGAGGACATTAGCTTGAATGTTAGAGAGGATGCTAGGAAGAGGAGGCTAGGAAACGAATCCTAAAAAGTATCATCTTTCCCTCTTTCCAAGGGTATAAACGTTATCTAAGTAATCATCACCATGAATCTGTTTAGAGCATACCTATAGAAGGGTAAAGGAACCCTTTAAGAAAATAAGTTTGATAATTGATAGGATCCGAATTGTTTGATATGTTCCTAGCCTAATAAAACAGTAGTATGTAGTATTGCTTTGGGAAGGTTTATGGAAGTTTCTTTGAGTATTACACTTAAAAATGTATTCATGTATATACTATTTCCTTTCAGATAGCCATAGCAGTAGTGCTTTGTACTTAATATTTCAGACTTTACAAAATGTTCTTACATTAGTTACTTTAATCCTCAGGACAACCCTATAAAACATTTATCAATAAGAAGAATGGTGGTTTACAACTCAGTTCCATGCCCAAGGTTTTAAAGTTAGCAATTGACTGAGTGTACACACAAAACCAAATCTTTGGACTCCAAATCTACTTTTGTTTTCAATTCTCCCTAGTTGCTCAATTTCTTGTTTTAAAATCCCTAACCTGAATGGGGGTGGGAAGGTGCTACAGGTTTCATTGTCCTCCTCAGTCCATTGAATTTTACTGAGTGGTCATAATAAGCAAGGAATAAGGCGGATATCTAATTGTTCAATAGATATTAGGATACCTTGTATACTGTTGGTATTCCATAGCATGGTGATTGAATACCTCATTGAATGGGTTGAATAAAGCAGTAAGTGGTGCTTCTAGGTCCCATCAATTTCAAGCATATCTGCATCCTCCTAGCTGCCACATCAATGATAATGGCTGATAAAAGTAAGGGCAAAAGAATGGTATATCTAAATAGAATTTGTAAAGATCAATAAAGACAAAGATGTGAAAGAGAAGTTTATTTTTTTGTGTGGGCTAACAAAAGGGAAGATCATGATGTTATGGTGAATTTCAGCCTTGCCAAGTTCTAACGAGGGGGAGAAAGAGGAAAAACATCCCCCTGGACATTAGCAATATGGTGCCACATTCCTGCTTCTACACATGCTGCGTTGGAAACCCAAACATTCTGTTTTATTGAGCGATCTTAAAAATTATTCCTCCGTTGATTTTTCACAAGGTACAGATCAAAGTCATGAGCTACATTGAAATCTGTCATGTAAAGTAGGTTAGTTATCTTTGTTTATAAATCCTGTCTTGTTTCACCAACTACTACTTTTATGCTATAGCAGAAAATTGGTAGTTTTGTCAAACAATGAATATTGTTATTTAGCTTGTTATATGGGGAAAAATTGTCACAGAAAGTATCACAGAATTTTCAGACTAAACCAAAGCATGACTTTTATTCAGCTTGTGCCTGAATGTTCCAGATGTTTTGCCTCAATTTTCTGGATATTGTATGCAAAAAATGGTTTCTGAGAAATGAAACTTAGATGAGTAATAACTGTGTGTAGAAATAGTCTCAAGATAAGTGCAGGTAATTTTTGTGTTTCTTGTGTTTTTAAAAGTTAACTGGGAATTTAAAAGTAGATATAATTTTCTAATGCTTTTTAAAAAATATTTACTCTGAGTATGTTGACATTTAAAAAATAATTATTACCTTTGGAAAGAAGGCTTAGTGATGTGTTATGGATTCTGAGATTTAGTCCTGCTTATTCATATCTATATACCTCAGATGAGACATAACAGTCATAATTCACAGCACTGGTATTTAGTAATTTATAAGTTAATTGATAGGTTGTTACGCACAGACTGGTCGCTTGTGTGTATGAATGTGCTGAGGATGACAAAAGAAACAATGTAAGGAGTATCTTTAGGAGTTTCCAAAATTTTGTGCTATGGGTCATTGTGCCTTGAACATTTTATCCAGCCTGAGGAGGGATTACCACCTCTTTTTACCCCTTCCTTCATTAAAGATGCTCAAAGAAAATAACGGACCTCATGATGATATGTGGTTGAATGGCCATTGTTACTTCCAACTACGGATTTCTAGGACTTTTACCTAGATACATTGTTATTGTTATGAGTTAACATGCTCAATTGCAGCAAAATCAGTATTTATCATCCCATTAATTTTATTTTCAACCTTATATGTAATAGTATCACAATTTTTGCCTTTCACTTTAATTTGTTTTTTCTTTTTGTTTTGCTTTGGCTTGGCTTGTTAAAAAACGTTTATTAAAAATATTGCCAACATACAATATTATATTAGTTTCAAGTGCACACCATAGTTATTCAACATTTATATACCTGAAGAAGTGATCACCATAAGTACTACAACCATCTATCTGACTCTGTACCACACTATCACAATATTATTGACTATATTCCCTATGCTGTACATCATATCCCCATGACTTATTTGTTTTATACCTGGAAATTTGCACCTCTTATTCCCTTTTATCTTTTTTTCCCCTTTTAAAAATTATTCAATTACAGTTGACATTCAATATTATTTTACATTAATTTCAGGTGTACAACATAGCAGTTAGACATTTATATATTTTAAGAAGTGATCCCCCTGACTAGTCTAGTACCCAGCTGGCACTCTACATAGTTATTATCATATTATTGACTATATTCCCTGTGTTTTACTTTATATTCCCATGACTATTTTGTAACTACCAATTTGTACTTCTTAATCCCTTCACCTTTTTTGTTTATGACCCTATTCTCTCTTGAAGAAAGTAAATTCCTTTGGTATATATAAATATGAAGCCTATTATCTCTTCTTTTGAATGATTTATCATTATTAAAAATATTAAGAGGGGGAGCTGGCTGAGTGGCGCGTTGGTTAAGAACTGGCTTGCAGCGCCAGCTCTGAGCAGCAGGGCCCAGTTTGGATCCCACATAGAGGGCCAGTGATGCTGTGCCCTCTACAGCTAAGATGGTGAACAACAGCTCCACCTGGAGCTGGGCTGCCACGAGTTGCTAGTGATGGCATAGGCTGCAGTGGGGCTGGCCGGCAGCTGGTGTGTGCTTT